GTTTGGACGTTGGGCTAGTAACCCTTGTCGAGAAAAAATCAAAAGTTCAGAAACGCGAAGAAAATGCTGGACTGACCTGGGAAGACTACTTATAAAACTGAAATAGGATATGATTCTGGAAACTTGGAATGTGAGGAGTTTGTATAAACCGGGTGAAATGGCAATCTTAAAAGGAGAACTAGCTAAATATAAAATTCTATAGCGGTTTTTGAAGAATGAAATGGGCGGGAAAAGAAATGCTCGACTCAGGCAATAACACAGAGTGTTACAGGACTTTTAATCCACAAAAGTGTTAACAATCCACAAAAGTATCTACGGCTCACTACAAAAACTTCACACACAATTCATGTACATTATTTTGCAACACCTTGCCAGATGACATTACCAATTAAATTTGATACAAAAGTTTAAGCCCCAAGTAAATTTTTTCTGCTGCACAACTCTTTCTATACAATTAGAGACTATACCGAGAATCCAAGAGGAAAGTAATGTAATGAATATTGCATCATCTGCCGGGATTCGCAGTGCGAAATGCGTCATCTGCTTGCGTCCCCCGACTCGACGGTTCCGGGTTATTTGCGATTGGCGTAGAAATGTGGAGCAAGTGCCGGATGTGTCGAGACGGGCGCCGGCCAAGTATAAATTCGCCGTTGCCGGCGGTCTATCAGACAGTAAGCAGCCGCGAGTCAGTCAGTGTATGTAGTCAGTGAATAAGCAGTCAGTCAGTTGGTGCAATAGGTGAACAACAGCCTGAAGTCGGAAGCTCAGCAGTGATTTGTGGTCGGCGCAGTGATTTGTGGTCGGCGCAGTGATTTGTGGTCGGCGCAGTGATTTGTGGTCAGCGCAGTGATTTGTGGTCAGCGCAGTGATTTGTGGTCAGCGCAGTGGACCGTGGATCGGACTGTGCGATAATGTAGAAGAAGTGAATAGTGTAAATATATAATCAGAAGAGGTGAACACTGTAAATAAATAATCAAGAGAACAGTCATGAGTGAGGAAACTAATGAAGAGAAGAACACAAGGACTGTGTAAACTGTAAATAAATCAAGTATTTTAGTGTATCATTAAGATACATAAATAAAGGTTTTTGTAAAAATATTACCAGAGTGTGATTTAATTCACCACTGAGAAACGCTACAATATGTATCATATGGAAAGTTATGTAATGCTGCGGAAAATCGATTTCGATATTTCAATGGAAAAACACGTTTGGGCACCCCTGATACCGCAAAAGTGGTTTTTTTCAAAACGGCCGTCCTTCTGGTGTCTGTAAATACTACTAGCGCCTAAACCATGCGTAGGATTTTTTCCAAATTTAAGAAAACACTGTCAATCAGGCTCGATTCGAAACCTTCAGATAATCTTCAAAATTTGGGAGCACTTTACATGGAGCCCTCTGGACATTTTCACAATTTTCTCAAAAACGGCTCCAATTTTTTCCTTACATTTCTTGTAAGAATAGAGACATGCATAGGTCCGATTTTTACTGTTAGCTCTTAATTTTCAAAAATTTCAAAAGTATGATTTTTTCGCTGTCTTCCTAGAACTAGAGATTCAAAGAGATTTTTCTTTCAAATGAAATTTGTTCTCCATAGTGAGTTCTTTTACTAAGGTACATTTTTCTGAAAATTTTAGTAGTTTTCGCGCAATATTGCGTGCATTATGGGCAATTTAAAAAATACAAAAACAAGATATTCACAAAGACGGCTCCAAATTTTTTCTTTAAACTTTTGGTAGAGATAGTGCTAAATGCCCTCATTAAGATGACAAAAACCATATTGATCTTTTTTGTTTTGTTTTTTTAATTTACAAAACTGCAATTTTTTGATTTGTCTATCATGCTGTTAATATTTATATTAGTGCCCATTTGTTAACATTATTGCTTTAAATAATGTCATGTTAAATTTCTCGAAAACTCATCCGTTTACTGTGAAAAATAGCACAAAACTCCGTATTTTCAGAAACGCCAAAACGCCATTTTCTCAAAAAATTGGCTCCATATTTTTGCTTCAAACTTTTCCAAAGTATAGTGTTATTTCTGTACTTAATCCGAGGTAAAGTTTTCCGAGGTCCTTATACGAGGTAAAGTTCATTTCGGGAATTTTTTTCACAAATTACTCAAATGTATTTATTTTTAAAGGTCTCTCACGCCGGTAATATGAACATTTCCAACAATTTGTAAACTCTGTTTTATGTACGATTTAATGTGCTTCAAAATACTTTATATGAAGTGTTTCGGAAAGTCAAAAATTCGAATTTACTGTAGCGTTAAAGGGCCATTTTAAAAAATTGCTCCAAATTTGCAAAGGAAATTGCCATTGCCATTGCCATTTTACTGTTACTATTAAAAAAATGTACTTTGGGCGGCGATAGATCGCAGCTGCCAAGAATGTGGCAAGTTAGTATAGCCTACCGAGACCAAAGGAAATAGAAAACTAATACGGGAAAGTCTGGTGCATTCTGTAGCACCACTAGTTTCACACCTACTTTTGAGTGCTTAATGCAGTTCAGCCATTCGGAATATCCAAGTAGTTATTAGACCAAATATTAGTAAAATTATTTTAAGAGTTTATTATTTAATTTTCTTCTTCCCCCGGACACTTATATATATATATATNNATATATATATATATATATATATATACACCACTTCCTGTTTCGGCAATTTAGCAACGCGTGAAATACCTTCTACAACCCTTTCGTTTTTAGCGACCCACGGCCCCGTGACCTCAGATTTCAGAGTGAGAGAATGTGGCTAATTTTAGTTGGAAGAAAGAGAAAGCACTTATCCTTGCCTTGTTAGTCATCAAGGTACTGCAGCCACTACACTGAAAAGTGTAAACGCCTGTCTCTTGGCAAATGGTGGTCTCTTTGAGCATTTACTCGAAGGTCAGTTTTTTGTAATGTAAATGGTAGACGCTAGTGTCGCAAATAGGCGATAGGCCCTAGCGAAAACATTCCTTTACCACGAAGCAAGCGAACGGACAAGTCGTTTTCTGTCGTGTTCAGTGATACTGCAAATCGAAGAAACTGTGTAGCAAATACGGACGACCCAGACGAACTACTGAAACTTTTGGAAGACATTCAGAAGAAGTAAATGAACTTATTTAATTGTAAATTTGAAGATACGACAAATATGTAAAAGAACGCGTACGTGTTGTAAAATACAACGAGACGATTTGAAATCAGAGAGCACGTGCATAAAACATATAAGTGTAATTTACACGTAATTGTTCTTTCTTTCAGTTTCTTTATATGATTATAGAAAATACCTTTTTTTGAAAAATATTATCAAATTAGAATTGCAATTATAAAGTAAATATATATGTAGTACGTTTAAAATTAATAAAAGTTGATTTAAAAATGAAGTATATTTGTTTTTTAGTACTATTTCCAAACGATTTCGTTTACCCTCTTCTTACTTGTTATTAAGAATGTTCCGGTTTTGAAAATGGAAACCTTCTATGCAACAGGGACGGATCCATCTGGTAATGAGGAGACATTATTAAATTTTTGTCAAACCATTAGCATATATGTATTATATTTTCTATAATTTCTCTATTAAACAAATGATACTATAAGATATTATTAAGGATTAAATAATTACTTAATTGTAATAATATTAACACAAAGATTTAAATACATTTTTGCCAAATAAAGAAAGGAAAGGTAACAAGTTAAAATAAAACAATTTTAGTAATTAACGAATCCAGAGGATATAGAATGATATAATTGTACTAGTGGTAAGTTAAAGAAAGCGAGTGACGATAGGAGTAAGATTTCTTATTTACCACGTGTGCAATGAGAGCAAAGTCGCTCGCCTTCCAACAAGGAGATCCGGGTTCGATTCCTGGACTATCTCATGTGAAATTTGTTCCGATAAAACGAGTTTTCCTGCTTCTCAAGGGATAGCCCAACCCTTCTGGAGTGTTCTAAACCCTACCACTTTCCTAATTCCTTCCCTATTCTGGCCGCTGGGTAGTGACGCAGGAGCGCGTAAGAGAGGCGCGTACGCGGCGATGGTACCTGGCCGTACTTTTGACGACTGACTGCGACGAGACTGGACAGCAGACCAACGAAATTAAGGGAGGATTACTCCAAATAAAAATGTTAATGGAGGATTACTCCTAGCAGGCGCTCAACGCCCTTCTAGGGATTTGGAGACTCATTGCGTCAGTATCAGAAGCAACATATTACAAAAATTATACCTCATTTATCCACGTGAAACATTCAAAATTTGTTCGCTTCCATTCAAGAATAATTTTAATTTTGAGAAATATCTTCACCATTCATAGTTACCAGACAGTCAACATATAAAGAGAGTACATACTATATTTAAGGTTAAAAAATAGTAGGACGCTTCTCACGAAAGACATGATTTTACATTTTATCATTTTGATGCATTTCTAGTAATGTACTCGTATACTCAGTTATTCCCTCTCTGAATCCGGATTGTGAAGTAAGCTTCAAACGATTATCGTTAGAACTTAGTAAAACCTTTTAGACCTGTCTTGATATTGGTCGCGGCTGCGGCCTATTGGCCATGCTCTCCTCTTATATATCCTATGCTATCCTCTCGGCCTTGGACATTATTTCTTGCTCTGGCCGCCGAGAAGGAAGTTTGCTCCGAGGAACGTCGAACTCTACCACGAGCTTGCTGTTAGACGCCTAGCTTCCTTGCTCCACATCTCGTTTCTGACTTTGTCTCTTTTGCGGCACGCAACAAGTACCTGGCACAAGTGGTTGAGCACTGCTCCCACAGCGTTATGTGGAATGTTTGTGCAAGTATCCTATTACGGTGAGTACCTAGCGTTCTTGTGATTCAGCTTCGCTCTCTTAGTTCGTTTAGTGGAAATTCGGGCGGGATCGCAGCAGAGACAGAGATTCCCTTCCCCTACTGAGCTCTCGTATCGCGGGATACAGTTTAAAGAGCAACGGTAGCCAAGTTACAATGACAGAACACGGACGGAGCTACACTCCGGCGAAATTTGCTGGATGCAATGGAGAAGACTACGCAGGACAGATGCTCACAGGTGGATAACGTCTCTTGGTCAATTTCGACCGGGTCGACGCCAGCGCACTCCGGAGAACGCGTCGAGCTCGTGAATGTCGCCGGGCTTGACCTGCTGAAGACAGCCACTCCGGAAATGAGAGATGCTCGCGGTTGGCGCGGCGGCGCGGTTGGCGCTGAGGACATCGCGGCAGAGAATGTTCTGCCTAAGTTCGATCTGCCGCCGCCTCGCGAACTTCTGCCAACAGCTGCGATGAATGAATTAACTGCCAAGTACAAGGTTTGATGGTTCCTGCAGAAGTTGCCCGCGCACCTCTGAAGGAGCCGCCAAGAGAGGGTTCAAATGCCAAAGAGAAGGCGACAGAAGCAGTAGATTCGGCGCCTTCACGCTCGGCTAAACACCGCGGATCGCGCCATCGCCCGTAAGCCAGGGCTAGCCAGCGGACCTTTAGCCGCCCCGGCGGGGCATAAAGCAGCGTCCAGCGAGCAGAGAGCCAGTTAGAAGGGGACGTAGGACCACCGCAGAGGACGGACGCATCTGGAAAGAGCTCCGGACGACGTGGGATCAATAGTCCTTTTTAGGACTAAGAGCAAAGAAGTAGCCTTGCCCTTTTAGGGCCAACATTGCACAGTCCCCCTTCAGGGGAAAACCGCAATGTCGACGCCCGCGTCGTCTCCCGCGCGGCTATTTTTCACCCCTCACGGGGATGACAGTAGCGAGCGCGGTAGAACCGCAGGAAGGGCGAAGTCAAGGGGAGCCGTAAAGCGACGTTTAGGCTCCCCTTCAACAGAGCGAATATTCGCTAAATCTTCCCCTGCCTCCAGGAGGAAGACGAGCAACGGAGCGACGCCGGCCGCCTCGCCGCCCGCGCCTACTACGCCTGATGCGCCGCCCGCCGCAGCCACGCCCATCGAGATGCCACCCACCGCTGCTGCCGGAGAGGAAGACGAAGAAGAAGACGGGTTCATGCTCGTCACCCGCCAGATTTCACTACGGGGTGACAGACATCTTCGGGCTCCTCGAGGGCTTGAGATCGAGAGGGCTCGACCTCACCGCGGAGGTGGCCGGCGACGCGGGCAGAGTTCGATGCGAGTCCCTCGAGGCGCATCGCGATGCTCTGGCCGCCCTTGACGAGAGAGCCGTGGAGTATCACACATACTCCACGGGTAACGCGAAAGTCCTGAGGTATGTCCGGAGGGGCATACCTTTGGAGCTTTCGCTACAAAGCCTCCACGATAATATGGCGAAAATGGCGGGCGAATATGGGAAATATAGCGGTTTTCAGGTGCAGAAGCTGGAGCGCCTGATAAGCCAGCGGCCGGGACGAAGGGGTAGACCGTTGCCGCTGATCGTTGGCGGACGCGGAGCGTCACCGGGCGCTCGGTGAGGTAACGAGCATCCGGTAGCTCCGCGTGCGCGTGGAAGTGTATCGTCCACCGCGCGGGCCCACGCAGTGCCACAATTGCCTGGATTTCGGGCACGTGGCACGAAACTGCAAGCGCCGCACGCGCTGCAAACAATGCGAGGAGCTGCACGACGCAGCGCAGTGCCCGCTGGGGTACACCCCTCAGTGGAAGAGCGCAAATGCGCTAATTGTAACGGCGAACGACACGACGCTAAATACAAGGGTTGCCCCAAGAATAAGCGCCGTTGTTTCAGGGGAAACCTGGTGCAGAAGCAACGGCAGGAGCGACTCCAGCGGGACCGCCAGCGACGCGCCCGCATCCAGGAAAGAAGAGCGGCCGACACACAGTCGGAGGCGCCGCGCTATCCCTCGTGAGAGCGCGAACCTTCGCGCCACCGCAACCCCACGCCGCCACCGCGGCCTCAGCGTTCGCCCAGACGCGAATGCCGACGACGCCAGGAGCGGACCTACTCAGACGCCCTGGTGCAACGCCCCCGCCCCACACGGGAGCGCCAGCCGACGGCCGCCGACGCAGCGAGGAGTGCGATGCGCGCCTGGAGCGCCATAGGCGGATGGCGGAGAGCATCCCGGGGCCCTCCACACTGAGCCAGCAGAAGCGCGTGCTGCACGACACTGTAGACGATCTCGCCCGAAACGGGATCGCCCCGGATCGCGTCTTGCAGGCGCTCATGCGATCCATCACCGGATGCAAGCCAGCCGAGTGGCCATCGGTCATGATCAAGGTAGTCATTACACTACTCCTTGAGCACGCGCACGAGACCGCTGCGGCGGAAGGCACGCTCATCCTCACCCAACCACGTCATTCCCACCCCTAATTAATGGCTAGCTCTACTTTTACAAGAACAGCGGCAACGTTGCATTTTGGAACTGCAACAGCATCTGCTCGCGAGCGAAGCAGTCAGAACTGCACAGTTTTCTCGCTCGGCGCAATATTTCAAACATGATGTTGGAGGAGACATGGCTTAACCCGCATCTTTCTTTAAATATTCCAGCTTTCTACTGCTACAGAAACGACAGAGCAGCACCAGCAGCAAACGCGACTGACGCCCACAGAGGGGACGGCACTGCAATACTAATACTACGCAACGCGTATCTCATTATGTTACAGCACTTCCGCAGCTGCAGCACGTCGAGGCCACTGCTGTTGTCGTTCAGACGGAGCGATAACCGCTGCGACTCATCTCCATCTACGCACGCCTCGACTGCACCGCGGAAACTTGCTCCCTGCTAGCTGTAGATATTGCAAAACTAGTCGAGACAAACAACTCCAACACTTGTGGCTGACGATTTTAATGCCAAACACGCGGCCTGGCGCTCCCGCGTCACCTGACCCCGCGGCCGTAAGCTGAAAGAAACCGCTGATGCAAATGGCTGCGAGATATAAACTCCCAATATACCCACCTATTATCTTTAGATATTGTGCTCTGCCGAAAACTCCATTACCCTCCAACACTAACAACCACCTATGAGCATTCCTCTGACCACTTGCCAGTGATAGCGGATATGAGGCGCGGCGGCCTGACCTTGTCGATTGCACCCACGACGCAGAAGAGGCGCACGGACTGGAATAAATTCCAGACGGAGCTGCAGCGGTGCATACCAGATGCATCTGTTCTGTCAGGACCGCAGCAGGTAGAAGCTGGAGCACACAAATTCGCCGAAGCTGTGACTGACAGCCTCAACGCAGCAGCGGAGAAGGTATGTCACTGTCACTGTCAAACCTGAAGGTATGTCACTGTGGCGAGTCACTCGCATGCTTTGCAGGAATCCAATAACATTGCCGCCGCTTCAGACCAGCATAATCGAACTAGGAGAAAGCGAAACTCCTAGCTAATGTCTTAGAATCTCAATTTCAGCCGGTTCAGAGGCGCCACCAATACCGCACGTTGTCGAAGTACAACAAATTGAAAACTAGAAAAGCTCCAGGCCCCAACGGCATCTCTAACGACGTCCTAAAGAAGCTGCCGCAGCAGGCCATAGTGTTTCTAGACGCTCTGTTTAATGCTATATTTATGTTTCAGCATTTCAGTGAAAACATGCACATATTCTAACTTTTCACAAGCTAGGGAAAAACCCGAAAAAGCCCGAGTCGCACAGGCCCATAAGACTACTAAATACGGTCGGAAAGCTCTGTGAAAACCAAAACAGAATTCTAAAATATGTTTCAGAAAATAGTACAGATTATACACTATCACAAAATTCCAGAACAAAAATACTTGTTATGCAGAATAACCACATTCCGAAAACAAACATTTTCACCGGTTGCAGAATGAGTTACGCTATGCTTGAGAAATACTCACGGAGGAAACTTTCATTTTAAGAGCTATGTTTTTTTTACCAAAAAATACTCTTGACTATGGTTGATTTTGTTCGCAACCCAGCCAGCGAATGACGACTATGAAGCTCTAGCAACAGTTCTAGTATCTCAAATTCTCACTTTTTGGACTAAGGTTGTCTTTCAAAAAAACTTCAATTATTTAGGGCCATGCACCGAGGCTAATGACTTCGATTTCCCTGTGGTGGAAGTGACTGTTCCAGGTGTACCAGGTAAGTGAAATCACACCGTGAAATTCTATTCAATTACGACAATTGATGCGGTATATGGAAAAGGGTCAGTAATAGAGTATTTTTCTTGTACTATGTACAATGTTTTAATTAATTCCTTTTCATTATCTACAGTGAACTGCCTCCAACAGGATTTTAAACATAATTTTGAACAGTATGTAAACTTTCTGCCATTGATATGCTTTCCTGATTTGTAGTATATTCTTCCCCAATATATCTTTTACGTATTCCCGTTCACGAACTTTTCGGGTAACACATTCACTGGAATAAAACGATGTAACAGATTCAATTCTACGCCCATTGCTACCAAACTGCTACATTTAATTTTTTTTATTGTTTGGAAATACGGTATAAACGCTTTTGTGACTTTTTTCCATAGACTACCTCAGTTGTAGACTAGACGTGTGTTTTTCCAAAGTGAATTTCGAATAAAGTCACCTCGTGAGATGCAATTCTGGTAGTAATGATGAAAATAAGTTTGCATTAATTTATCTTAATTTTCACATAATCTCCAGATGCAGGATGTCCCGCCGGACGCTGAGTACCCTGTCGTCTGTGAGGAGGGCCGATGTAGTTTCTGCCCTTTCACGTTTGGTAAGTCGGACTGATCGCTAGGAATTATTTCCCAACTCTCGGAATTTGAATTCCATTTTGGAGGGAATTGTTTCCTTGCTTTACTTGCTTTTCTCCGTAGACATTTGCGAAATGCCCGTAAGGAATGTAAATCAAGGTTATGGCAACAACATGAAACGATACTTACTTTGCCAATTTTCAGAGTCCTCGTCCATATAGGGTGCTCTGTCGGGTTCTTTGTTTGCCTTCTGTTAGGACGTTGTTGAGAGTTCTTAAAGATGTGCCTATGGAACCTGGAATTGATAAGAATGTCCTTGAAATGATGCGGCGTGTTGGTAACAAAATGTCTGATCAGTACAAATTAGGCACATTGATGTTTGACAAAATGATCTTGAAAAACTACTTATCTATATTGACAAACGTGGCCTGATCGATGGATTTGAGGTACTCGAGGACGCTCGCACATTATAACGGTTCATTCATGGTCTTTATGATTTAAGGCTTGCAGCGTCCTTACAGTAGCCAGTGGCTTATTACTTCTCGCTGCGCTCTACGCCAACCAGTGTCATAACAAAACTCGTAGCGGAAGTTGTTGAAGCATTGCAGGGCATTACAGGGAAAGCGACAATGTGTGATCTGGGTTCCATTAATAGCGGTGCGCTGAAGATCCTCATTCATGCCAGTCAAACTAGGAAAAAGAATGTGTGCAAAAACGTACTCCTAGAGATACCCCCTTTTCATGCCAATGGTGACTGAAAAATTAATTCTCTAAGGGAGAGGGAAGGTGCCTGTTACGGCAAGAAAAAATACAGCAAGAAGTAGATAAGTAAAACAAGTTTGTTGCCCACTTCATACAAGCCATAGTTTCCAAGCGTACCAATAGCAATGCTTACAACTGTGGCGTCATATCAGTCGCCTTGTACAAACGTACCAAATATCAGCCACGTGCAATTCATGCTCATGGACAGCGCTGGCGGGAAGAGACGCCGGGCTGAACAATGGCAAACCTAGGGAGCGGAAGGGAAGGGGTGCCGTGTCGTGGTTGGCCACTTGTGAACCCCGTAGACCATTTGCGGCAAACTTGGGAACCCCATAGGCAGGCCAGCTGCGGAAACGCGTCGGCGGAAACAGCGAGATGACGCAGTTCCGTCAGCCGGCCCAGAAGGTAATATAAACGGACCCCGGACCTAAACTACTTCTTCTGATTCTTGGACGCGTCGGTAGGAAGTCGTGTGGGTTGTGCGCGGCGCTGCATCTTAATGCATAGACTACTGAGGTTGGAACTGAAGCCGGCGTGCTACGTCGAGACGGGAGGTGCGGCATACTCGCTTGTATGCTCAAGTAGGCTACTGGTGCATCACACCGAATATATCTGATTATCAGGCCAGCGGTGGTGGTGGCGAGAAACATTCCTTCTAGTAACAGGTCAATATTATTTATTGTAATTATTGTGCATAGTATTCAGGTGTTGGAGCTTATTTCAAATAAATACTCAATAACTTACAAACCGTTCACGTCTGTGATTTATTGCCCCGGCAAAGACGCCACACTACCATATCTCCAGAAAATGCCAAACAATACATGTACGGTCGTCGTCGTCAGGAGATTTACAAGTTCAAGCTAAAGTTAACAGGATCCAAACAAATACAGTTTTATCGAGGCACGGTCGGTTTAGGCAATATCACTATAATAATCCATAATACTCGAAGCTCTATCACAAAATGGTACTGCCAGCTCCGTCGCCCGATGCCCCTTATATACTCGTGGCGACACCATCACCAAAGCCACCTGTCGTCACAGTGGCTTATCTGCTGCCATACGAGCCTACACCGCGCGCGCTGCTCAGTTGCGCACGCTCCAATTTCGAACTATTTTATGCTTCTGTAAGAGTGCTTAGCTCTTTTCCGTTCTTCTGTGTGGGGGATCCCAGGATCTGTGTTTTAAGCGATGTCCTCAATCTGTTGAAATGTTTACGCAACAATTTTATGGCTGCTGTATACATTGAATAGGGGGGCTGCTCGTTGGAATGGCATGGTCCAACTATTGAAACTCGACCAGCAGCTTTTCAGAGTTCGCCATCTGACAAAGAACCGTGTGTTATCCGCTGGACGAGTGAAGATGAAGGTGAAGGTGAAGTATGCTGTACAGGTGTTGAACCAGAGATATGCTGGACGCATGAACACTGTAGCTCTCGTGGGCTGCGCGGGGGGCGTTGAGTTCGAAATTGTAGATACTCGAGAAACAGCCAACGTCATTTGATTATTCAAATGGCTCTACCAAACGTGATGACTACATAAAAAGAAACCAATGCGCAAAAAGTATTAATTCAGAATGATGGTAAAAAAGGGCTCTGGACACTGAAGTTTGGCGGGAAATGAGTGATGAACTCGGAGGCGTGGTGTTATATAGGCTTAAGTACCCAGATACATGTCTTGGTGACTTCGATTCCAGGAAGCAACTATAAGTATTTTGTCAGCTTTACGGCTGGTATGTTCAATGCTCCATCAAATGTCTTAATTAAACGAGTCTAAACCAAAATCTAGTAGAAAATTTGATGTGAGTGCCTCTACATTTCAGATGATAGCTCGCAGCAGATGATGTAATTAAAATTCATATAGCCAGCCCAGAGAATATTGGGACATGTTATGTTGCTGGATAAACACATGTTAGGAGCACTCAAGGACCAGTGCTGCTTTAAGTGCAAGAGCTTCATTGGTACTGATGAATTGAAGGGTTTTCAATTGAATATTAAACGTCGGGAATATGATCCATATAACTCGTATTTAGTATACACTTCTGACGAATTTATAACTGAGATCCTTGTTGCTTCCGGAGCATTTAAAAAAAGTTGTTACAAAACAACAACTGCATACCACATCTCTGAAGCATAATGTCAATTTGCAGACAGCTCTCAACTTGAAGTGGTTGGATTGCTCCATCCATGGGCAAGCACTTCTTGCAGTAAGATTGGATCAACATCTAAGATGATCATTAGGGTACATTTAAAGAGAATCAATTTAGAATTAATGTATTAATTATATATATTGAGATTATTTATTTAATAAAAATGTTTTGTATTACAGCTATGCAAAGTATAATTTATTTTGTTAATTTCAGCAATATAAACACAAATGATGTATTTTAATAATTATTCTTGCTTATGTATCGATAGAGCTCAAGAAAAAATGCATCAAATATAAGCTACAATGTAAAATAACACCACATTGTTAAAATAATGATATACGTGTTCTTCTTGTGTTTCAGCACACAATCGTCATCTTGATGAGCTAAATTATCATGTAAATAGACACAAAAAAATTGCAGTGTTTAAAAAATGTTTAAGGATTCCTTTCCAGTATTTATATACTTGAAGTATCATTTGCAGTAGTGGATTTGCAAAGCATAATTTATTTTGTTGATATTAGCAATATTAACAATTATTTCTTCTCTTGTGAATTGTTTTTAAGTGAATAATATAATCTGTACTTAAATATATTATCAACAAATGTTTGCTACACATTCCATGTATCTTATAGTACTTTCACAAGGTTTATTTATGAAACATGTTTATTGCATGCGTGTGATAATGTAGCATGTATAAAAATGTAAAACTAGTTGCTAATAAAAGCTATTTTAGTATACATTTTTTCTTACTGTACAAATAAAAATAATTTTCAATTAGAGTATACCATGAAATTATAAAATGTGATTTTATCAGTTGATTCTATAAATATTTTACTTCTTTAACTTTTGTCCATCAATACATACCTAATTCCTACATTTTCATAAAATGTTAATACCTTTTAAGAATTTTATAGAAAAAATATCAAACAATGAATTGGATGATAGAATGCTGAAATTTTAAAGTAGGATACAAATTTTGAAAGTCTGGCTTATGTTCATTTCAAATTTCCTGGTTGCCTTCATGCGATTGGCTGTACATTTCATTCAAATCATGGAGGCTACCGGAATAAGCTTTCGCCGATTAACATTGGGAACAGTCTCTTACGCGTACTCTCTGAGCCAGACAACCATCTGGAGCTGTAACCACAACTTCGGGCACTTAGTGACATCATAAACATTTTTTTGCTATTATACAACTGCCCGAAATTAGATTTTCACAGGTGGAAAGATTAGCACCCTATTTGTTCAAAACTAACAATTTTCCTTAAGTATAAAACTCAAAGTAATAATCAAATGTTTCTATGATTTTACTTTAAGTTTACCACTTTATTATACTTTGTCAAACATCAGAAAGAGAATTACGATAGATCCGGAAAATAATTTTGAACATATATCCTTAGTTCGAAAATCCGGAAGAAGCTGAGAGAATTATTCCGTACAAACGTATTTCCAACAATATAAATAAATAAAGCAGTTTAGGTTTACGATTCTATTTTTTCCCAATTCGTAAGTGATCAATATAAACCCTAACAATAATATTCGATTTTTATACAAATTTTCTAATATGTTCTCGTCTTAGCAAAGTTAGATTTTTTCACAGCTATTTCACCTCCAAAAAACTTCAAAAATTGTGAAGAAAAGGGATAAAATATTTATTTAAGCATACATTGGCAATCTCAATATCAGAATTCAAATTTTTTTAATGGATAAAAAGGGAAAATGTAATTAAAATAATGTCAATTTCTTTCCGACATGTAATAATATCTAATAACACAAAATCCAAATAACATGGTATTTGTTTAAAACAATCCTTTAAATTTTAAAACTCGTGTAGCAGATTCCGACTGTTCCGACAGTACCTCAAACGTTCTGAGCTTGATTCCATTTTTTGCTAGTAATGGCAAAATCTCAGCTAAACAATGTTAGGATTATTGTATACTTTCACATTATTCTTCAAATAAATTCCAAGATTTTGAACGAAATGTGTACAAGAATTTAATTGTTATTTCAATACAGCATGGCAAATAAAGTGAGACAAATAGTTTGAGCATGTCGTATTCTTTCTGAAAATTGGAGAAACCCATAGAGACATGACAAATTGTATCGATCTTAAATAACAAAACTAAATGACGCTTTCTTTCAGCAATCCAAGTTTAAGACAATGCTTAAAAATAATTTTGGGCTCCTTTCGATCCCTTCGAAAGAATGGAAAATAGTCAACTCAACAAATTAAAATTACTATATGCTTCTGCATTCTTCTATAAATAAACTTCTAGATACTGTACGTGCGTATATAAAGAATTAAATGATTATTAAATACATCTTAGCAAGAACGATGTGGCGCTGAAATAATTTTGGGCTCTCTGGTTCTTTCTGAAAATTGGAAAAATCTAATTACAAGAAAAAATTAATAACATTAATCAAATTAATTGGATACAAATTGTATCCGGACTGCAATATTTTCATAGGCTTACAAGTCCATATTACTTGACTTTTGCTTCCAGGAATTCTATTTTTCTTGTTGAACGCGAGATTCGAGTAGATGTAAACGAACCGGAATACACATGTGTATATCCCTCCGCCGCAGCACGTGGTCCGAGCTCACTGCTGTCACCTGAACAGATAACTCTCCGCTGTCACGGACGCGCTCGCTGTTTCGATGTCGAGTTATGCAGCATGCGCGAAACAAATGGACAATTGCAAGACACTCAGGGAACGACATAGTAGCATGCAAAGTAAAAATTCACTCGACTGATTGTTATGACATTATTATTACATATTTTCAATGTTAATAGTATTGTAATATTATTGCCAAAAGGGTTACGAAATGCATGCACACAACGAAAATCGCGGGCTGTCTCATGTCTGAAGTATGAAACGCGAAGTTTTGTTAATTCACAGAAGGCCAAAATTGATGTATCAATTATCTTTAATTGAACATGAAATTTAGAAGTAACTTACTTTTAAAAAAGTTTATTCAGAATCTGATAGATACTCTATCCCTTTCAAATTTGAATCTTCAAAGGAACTCTAGCAGTTGCAGAGGTTGATTATTCAAGAATCCACAACGATATCAATTACTCGTACACCTTTCAAGTCGCACATTCTTTGTTCTTTCCCTATTACATGTTCAGTACACTTATTACACTTTCTCCCTATAACCTCACAGAAATTTTCGTTCACCAAGTTTTGTACTTCAGAATCTTGGAAGTGGTGGTGTGACGAGCTACGTAACCTTTAACCTGACACCAAATCTGTTCTATAGGATTTAACAATCAGTAGTAAGGTGGTAACCTAAAGATAGTATGGCCTGCTTCTTCTGACATTATCAATTATGTATTTTTCATAATTGTTTCTAGTAGTTCAGGTCTAATCATGCTAGCTTCATAAGGAATATTTTCAGACTGGAGCAAGGTATAATGTCAGATTTTCTTGAAGATTTATTCGAATAAAATTCTGATGATATGTGTTGTATTTCGTAAATATTATTTGGATCAAGTATCATTAAAATGATATTAAAATAGATGAAATCAGCGAAAATTCAATAACCCATTTATGTCCACTGGGTCATTAACGACCCCACATAAAAGTTGTTAATGTTTTGTTACATGTATCAAATATTTATCTTTAATGATACCAGACTTTGCGTTTTCTGCATCTCACCACTCGCGCGATAATCTATATTGAATTTCTGAGAATATTTTTCGCGCGTGTGTTGTGTCTTGTTAGAGCTCGCGCTGTCTACAAAAAAATCTTTTAGTTCGTGAGAGGCAAGAGACTTTAGTGCAGTGATTTTTCATTGCTGTGATCCTAAAGTGTGGTCAAAACCAACCATCCATTCTTTTGAATTGTATATGAATTATTGACGTATCTCTGATAATTTGCAGTTACCGCTCTTTGCATACTATAAAGCAATTTATATTTTTTAACTTTATAGCCCGCATTAAATGAGTACCTTTTAATTTGTTCCATTACGAAAGTAGCTACCAACAAAAATATTGTATTGTTACCGATAACACAATTCAAGTTCACTGGCACCACAGACTGCAATGACTCAGGCTAGACAGTGTTCCGGGGTTGTGATGGCGCGGCTGGGGAGTGTTAGCAAACTTGTGAATCCCTGCAACTTATGTTCATCGACTCGATGCACTGCTGTTGCCATTTGAATCCAATGTTGCCTAATAGAGATAGGTTTTCCGCATCGCATCGCATCGCATCACATGGTCATTTTTAAGACTGGCGACAATTTTAAATCAAATACTGGATATTTTTATATTCATTTCTAGTATAAGACGCACCTGAATTTTGGAGGCAATTTATCGAAGAAAAATGGGCGACTTATAGTCCGAAAAATACGGTATACTTGTATGAAAACGTGGTGCGTGGTTAACGACCCAGCGGGTAAATAGTCTTTGCTCCTCTTATATTTGGTAATTCTTGTGCGTTACATACATTCTGGTGTTGGCATTCTTATGTTTTGCACGTCTAGGTCACATAACAGTTGTTGGAAACTACAGATCTCCAGGATACGCTGGGAGATTTGGACATGGTATTTACAACCCCAGTAGCTGAAAACAACTCGAATGCCGATTCCGGTGACGAAATTTGCAACGATCATGATCGTCTCAGCAAAAATTTGCTTCAATCTCATGTAGAGTTCTGGAAGAAAGAAGAACCCTCTGCGGTCGGCTTGATAAAACATAACAGGGATGACACATATGGTATTGAGTTTCACGGCCGGGAAATCGCCAATTTTCAAATTTCTTCTATACCAGTGCTTCCATCCATTCGAGAAGCAACTTTGTCTTGGAAAATTTTTCTGAATTTGTTTCTCGGATCGAAGTGACTGAATTACCATCAACAAGTGCCTCTAGAAAAGAATGATCTACCAATTGATGTTTTTGAACTATATTTTGTGATGAGCCTTTGGCGAGATAGTGTGAAGACGTCGGTACTGGATTATATTGTAAATTACATTTATTCGGGTATTATAGTGGGGTGGACCAAATGGATCTAAACATAGGCTACCCTGTCATAGAATTGGCATTAGAGGGGAAAATGGTACATTCCAGTAGTTTCCAGTATGATTTGATGTGGCTATCAACAATGCGTAGCAACTAGCAAAAGCCAGTCTTTAGATATGTTAGTTTCGTAGAGAAATTGCAAAACGTCTGCTGCAAAAATAAAGTGTTTCACATTCGGCTCCACAGTCAAATAATACTCTCTCACTTTCAGCATGCAAAATAAAAGGGCGTTTGTTGATTGTTTGACAACCACGACGCCGGTGCGCGGTGTCGAGGAACAAAAACTGAGGAAAGTTCACGTGTAAATTCCAAATTTTCTCTTTACGATAAGTGTTTTTTTGGATTACATTCCTAAATACAACTTTTTGCATTATAAGTGTATAGACAGACTATAGAAAAATATAATTTAAAATATTTTTCTCTCTAATGTCTTGTTTCTCAGTTGAGTCGTTAACGACACATCCGAGAAAACCACTTTCTAATTATTTTTTATCAAAATGTTCTTGTCACATACGTTCACAATACTAAACATTCTAATATCAAGTTTTGAAAGAAATTACGCTGAAAAACTTTCTGGATATGAATGGGTTAAAATGACAGAAAATGATAAAAAATATTTGCCGGAATCGACATTACAATTTCCCTTTTTCTATTAATAAATTCAAACCCTATTTCCAGTACCACAGAATGAGATGAATATCTCTAAATTTAGCAGATCAGGGTCATTATTTACAGCTCCCAGTACATTATTGATAAATGGAGGCTCATTCTTTAAGAAAAAATCGGGCACTTTCCGGCGAATCGCTAGCCTAACAAATTCATTGTATTTTATATCCAACACGGGCTATATTTATTTCTTTTGGGAGTAGTTACCTTACCTGAACAGTACGCTGTAAACACTTGTGGCGGCGAACCCATTTAATTTTGTTGTTAAGTTCACAATGTCATCAACTGCTACTTCCGGTTTCTTCTTGCGTAACGAATTGCAAACATTTAAAATAAAAAGTTTTTCCATAGCTTTTGATCAGCTTTCCCCGCGGATGTTTTATAACAACAGACTGTGGCGGTGAGATAGGTGAATGTTCAGCCAAGTCACTTAATGCTTGGCCAAGTCCCTAACTTTTGCAATGCACTTCAGATATTCACAAAAATGTACACACAATTCTTAACACTCGATTTTGACACTTCCATTCCACAAATCACATTTCATTCATGAGTATGAATGAGCTCAACACCAATATCTCTTTATGCGATTTTGTGATCGCTCAGCCAGACGGCTGACGCGGCACATTTTCGAAGAACGCAAGACTTCGTGTTCACAGAAACTCCTTGAGTTCATACCGCCGCAGAGCGACGGCACGTGACTTGGCGGGGGCACTCTTCAACCTTGGCGCGAAGAGGAGTGCGAAGGGGTAGCTCTGGCGGGCGGAGGGGTACAAGAGACCTCGCGCTTTGTAACGCCTTCCGCTCTCATTTCTTTTTGCTGTGCGACGGAGTACACATCGCTAGAGGGAGTGCTGTACGTGCTAGAAGCCGGCGAAATAGAATTTGGTGCGAAACGTTGGAATAAAGTTTAGAAATGGGCTCATTAAAGTATTTATGTAATCTATTTAAACTACATGTTGCAGAAAAGAAGAAAACTCCGATCTTGTAAACATTTGATGCTGTTAAACATAATTGGGTTTGCAGAGCTCTTCTTTTTAGTATATGGAAATATGGAGTTAAATAAAATACGTTCCTGAGGCGAGTTATGCTTTTTGTCCACTTTGGGGGCGATTCTGCGGCGATTAAAACGCATTTAACAACACTGAGAGCGTTTAGCGTGGGACCCCGTTTGTTCACGTCCTCGCAAGGTGACGAGCAGAAACCGACATCGCTTCCAGAACAAGGTTGTTGCTCCCAATCTTCATATTTCATAAATGAACTAGGATTAAATTATATTCCTGAGTAAAGTAAAGTAATAAAAATATAAATTTAATATAAGGAGTTACTGAATTAATAGTGTTAAGAGAAAAACAGTTATAAACACTTGATAATTTTTGTTTTTACGTCTCTCTGTGTTATAATGCTATTTCATGAAATTTGTATTCAAAGATAAAGATAGTTATTTGGAATGCAGTAAAGCAATAGAGTTGAGAATTAATGCAGAATGAGAAATTAACTTAGTTTTTGGATAAATGTAATTTACAACAAATCAACAATTCCAATGAACTTTGGAAACTGAATAGTGTAATTGAAGAAAACTACTAATTACGTATCATATGGTTTTGTTTGAGATTTCCAGAGTTTGTATTATTTCAGGGTTTGTTGTATTAATGAGTTTCGTTTCCTTGTTGTAATATAAGTGCTGTGTTTAAGAACTTTTCAATGTGGTTCAATTTCCACATTTGAGTACGTCTCACCTACCCCTGAGATCCCGATAGTGGATAAATTAGAAAGCGAAGCTTATGAAGTAACTGGAGCGGTGCTGGGGCAGCGGTGCTAGAACTGGGGCAGATTTAATGCACACTGCCCGTCCAACCAACTTCTTTTTTTACAATCACCTGCACTCGTTCAGGGGAGTGTTCGGTGATTGATGCACCACACCCCATGGATGAGCCGGGGCATTTGGGTTCCCCAAAACGAAAAAGGGGATGGGAGTAGCAATATACACACATGCTGTACGGTCCGCCACTGAAAGGAAACAAACACTGTCTTACGAGCAGTGGCGTCTCCTAAAACATTGGGTTGGGAATGCGATAAAAGTAGCAAATAGTTTGTCATTAAACACTGGTTGCCCTTACTACTTGTTGTGACTCGGTGCTTAGACGTCATTGTATAGTTACTTATTGGTATCGAAAAATTAACAAAAATAGCAAATATTAGGAAATATATTCTGTTATTAATGAGCATATAGCAGGAATCAAAATGTCATGGCATTTGGGCACACAAAAATCAATAAATACTTTTGGAAAACACTAGACCCTAAGGTGTCTCACTGTAGCCCGCCCATTGTTACCCAATCAAAATTCATAGAGATATCACTTTAGTCCCATCAATATCGTATTAGCCCCATCAGGTGGGGCTAATTTGATACACAATTTTGATTTTTTAAAGAGTTGTGGTATGTCTTAAGTTATTTTTTATTTCGTACACAGTTTTTAGCATCAAAAGGCACATATTCAATTTTTTTCATGCGTTTGCTTCAAACGGCATAGAAGATAAGGTGAAAAGTTTGCTTTTCTGTATCAGAAAAGTTCCGATTGGCACTAATTATTAGAGCTCGGACATGTACACACTAAAAAAGTCGAAATTAGGCAGGCAAATAGACACTTAAAAATGTTAAAATAGACAGGGAAAGAGGAACTAAAAACTTCAAAAAATTGACAGGGAAATAGGCATTATAGTCGATAATAGGCTCAAAAACTCCTCAATATTCAAATTGAGATGTAATACGTACATTATAGATGGACACAATGTTTAAAAACAAATCGAATTTCTTCAATTGCAAAAACAGGAGCTAGATAATATTTCCTGAGAGTCGACTCTTGTAGAAATTAATATTTTATATATTTTGCCGAAACATGGTTAGACTTTAAGTTGGCTTTTGTTGGATTTCAAGATTGGTGTTGAATTTTCACATTTTAAATAGGAAAGTTCACGGCAATCAGCGCTCGACACAAGTCAGTTTTTCTTATCTTCACCTTGTCAAACAATCAATTTAACCCTGCTGCGTCGTTCGGGTCTTTTTTACCCAACTGGAGCTTTTCTTATCGTCAATTTCATTCTTTCGTGTTCTATACATTTAGAAGTTTATGACTTTATTTTCATGTATCAGATTTCGCATAAAATAATAAAATGTTATTTACTTTTGTCGCTACAAAAAAGTGTACACATAAGATGTTCGGGTCACTTTTGTCCTGTCCTGTGAAAATCACCACAAGTCCATACTTGAATAAAATCAAACTCTAATATGCCTCAGAAATGTGTTTGAACTTGCAAGTGAAACAGGTTAGCACTAGCATGCCTCTTATCTACCTATGCTGTGTTCCGTGTCTCGTTAGTTTGCATTGAACTGTGTTACTGTTTACATCCTGTTCATGCTGTGTTAGCCATCATGGCTTCAAGAAAATCGAGGTACTCTGCACGTTTGGTACAGAATAAACTGGACGAAGCAGTAAATTCTGACGAAGACTTGTTTGATTATCAAAATTCCTCGTATGACTGGGAGCCAACAGATGAAGAAATGTTCTCTGAAATTGAAGATTATGTTTCCATTCTATCAGATAATGACACGGGAGACGAAGAACCAGATGCTGCAAACCTGAACTTGGAAATTATGTTATCGAAGGACAAGAAAATTGAGTAGACTTCTGGTCCACCGGGACAACGTGGAAGGTTTGTTGCTCACAATATTCTTATTTTGACCCCTGGGATAATTAGGTATGCCGCATCAAAGGTGAGAGATGGATTATCTGCTTTTATGTGTTTTTTTCCACCATCGAGAATATTCTTTTTAACAAATTCGAACGTAGAAGATCGTCGAATATATAATGAAACCTAGAATGACGTGGACGCTCAGGATTTAAATTCTTATCTCGGTTTATTGATTCTAGCTGGTGTTCTTAAATTCCACAATGAATCTACTGAAAGTTTATGGAATACTGAAAAAGGTAGAGCAATTTTTCGTGCAACAATGTCTTTGGAAAATTTGAAAAGAATTTTAAGTGTTAAGATTTGACAACAAAGAAATACCAACCGATAGAACGTAATGCATCAAAAAATCAGAAATCGGCTTACAATGCATCATGTAGCCTGGACTGTGTTCAATATTGTACGACCAACAAATTCACATTGATCAAAGGATAGGATCAAAGGATCTAACAAACTGGATATTATTTTCCGGGATTTGAAGAAAAAATCTACCTGTGGATTTTGCTGTATCGTTCGATCAAAAGTCGCAACCAAAGAGGCAGATAAACATCTTAAGTATAAGATGTTGAAATTCGAGATCAGTCGAAAATCAGCCATACCGATAGTTACACCGGAAGAGATGGTTCAGGGCATCAACTAATGTCACTGCAGTCCCTCTGACCGGGAGGTCTTAGGTTCGAGTCCCGACAGTGGCAGAATTTTCGACACTAGTTTGTTTGGTAGGTCGAATTTTGCTGTCTTGCTACACTAACACGCACACTACACTACCACACATGTCGGGAGCTAAGAGCTTGACCCGTCTGAGGTGGTGCCCCGCTGGTGGGTGATACCAGGTTACCCAGTTAACCGACGGTAGGTCTCGCCATACAGGAGGAAAGATCGCTGCCACCTCCCGAAAAAACATGCATTACACTTACGGGACTAATGACCCTGGTAGTTAACGTGCCCGGAATCACTAAACAATCAATCGATAGTTATCGGAGCTCTGTGATTTGTTTCGCAAAATTTGTGTAATAACTTGGCTAAACTCCCAGGTCATTCAAAAGACTGAGAAGTGCAAGACATTATTGGGAACAGCCCACATTTTGCGAAAAGTGTTGTAGATCTGCTCCTTAGGAACCCGGAGTAGATTTAATGTTCAACCGACTGATAACACCTTTAGTCGTGAATTAGATGAATAATAATAATAATGATGATATAATGAAATTCTGATGATGAATATAAATACTAACGCGCGCAGAGGTGTTTCTGCAGCTTGAAAGGAAAGAACGTATTCAAAAGAAGCGCGCATAGTTCTGTTCGGACTTGTTCGACGAGGCCTTCGCGCAGCCTGACTTTGCCAATACTTGGCAACTCTGGAAACCGGCAGTCGAGGTCGAAGTGAAATGGTGGAAGTGGTGCCAGTGCCTGGTGTGAGAATTTGCAGGATTCGAAGTGTTTAGTAGTGTTTCCGTGTTCAGTGCTGTGAAAATGTGCAGTGAGTGTAGTGCCATGCAAGAAGTTGAAATCGTGTGAAGGTTGCCAAGAGAGTTGTTCAGTGTAATTGTGAAAAGTGGTGATAGTGAGTGGATGTGATAGTGTAGCGAGAACGTCAAGTTCGGAAACTTCATTTACTGATTGTATGGTAAGTTGCATTTAAAACACAGGTATTTTACTTTTATACGCGATAACTAAATTTCTGGTCACACACCTACACAGATTGTGGGTTGTGTAATAACAAATTGCTCGCAACCATGTACTAAGACTGGTGTGCATATTTGACACTTAATCTCAAATAATGTTTGCATTTTGTGCTTGCTATGTTTGCAAAGATCCCGTTTACATGCTGTGACTAGAAAACATCTTATATTGTCAAGTCACAGTGGGAAATAATTAGGGCTTATTTTTTATGTTCAAAAGTTGTATGTTAATTGGTAGTGTATTTTGATGCTTGATTTGCTTGCTTTTTGTATGATTTGTTTTTCTGTAAGTGTATTTTGTGATTGCTTTATTGTGAAATGTGTTGTATTTAATTTTACATGGGTAATTTTCTTCACTTAGTACCCATGGACAGTATTGTAGGCAGGTGAAATACATTGTCATTAATTTTTGCTGGTGTTGGTTAGATATTAGTTAAAATGAAATTTTTTGTGCCGTGAACCCTGCATATTGTGTTGAGAGCAGGTTCCTAATATGCTGTGTTCATGGAGAATTCCTGTTGAAAAGTCCAGAATACTTTATTCAATTCAATGTTTTGCCTTGAAGTATGTGGAATTATCCACCTGCCTTCTGAAAAGTGTCTTTTTGGTGGACCATAAATAAAGACCACCTGAAGCACTCTGAAATAGGATTGGAAAATGCTCAGTAGATGTAATTTCTTACAGCATCCTTTGTATCAAGTTCTGTGCTTGTTCATCGTATGTGATTTTACTTATTTTTAATGTATTTATTTAAGCAGAGATGTAGTATTGCATCAAACTGTTTCATTATGTCTTAAGAATTTGATTCCGAATTTAATTTACAATGCATACTTTGTGCTTGTCAGTAGCTGAACCTGTCACTTTATAAATTCTCGTGAATAACTTATTTTGATATTTCATTCTTTTAAGTTTATTCATATCTGAACAGATCTCTCATCAAGCAGGCATAAAAGTAAATAAAAATGCATTTTTTTCACTGTGTTGAGAACATAGGTTCAGCAGTGCTGTTGTAGACTATGAATATCATCAGGGTGGCCACATTCTGGGAAAATGGGAAAAATGAAGTAATTTCATTGATCTGGAAAAATCAGAAAATATGTAGAAGAACCTTGAGAGGCAAGGAAAAAGTTTCAGGCTAGTTCAAAATTAGCCCTTTTCCCTTCATATCTTTTATAAGGGGATAGTTTTAGCGCAAATTGTATTCCTTAACAAATGCTCACAAATTGATAATGGGGCTTCCATCAGGGGGTGGAGGTCTAATAGGGCTTCAGCCACCTTCCTCCTTCTGGAAGCCGAAGACTCGTATTCACAAAGCTTTTACTAATTTTTTCAAGTAAAGGAAGACATTTAATATCTTAGATGGTACATAGTAATAAATATGAATCGACTAATTGAAATAAATGTTTAAAATATTTTTTCATTAACATTAAATTCAAGAAAACAAGTTGGATGAACTTGTCTGTAACACCCGCCCTTCCGCTACCTCATGGATATACACATCCAATACAAATCCTGGTTGCTCCATTGCATATTTTATTTTAATAATATGAAATACTGTACAAACCTTATCTGTTTTTTTATTTTTTTATTTTCTCGGGAACCTAGTAAAGCCAGAGAATCTTGCTTAATGAAAATAAGGCCACCCTGATCAGATTTACAAATGAGCATGGTCACATGATCATGGTTTACTAAAATTTCATTACTATGTAATTTAGATTACTCCCCAGTAACTGTTTTGATGCTTGATGATAAATAGGAATCAAATTCAATCATGTTACATAATGCGAATGAAGGAATTCTGTAGGGTCAATATTCAGACTTAATGGCATTTGCTGACCAGAAATTTCAATTTTCGTTAAGAAAGTCTTAAATTGTCTAGTTTCTAAATTGGACATTGCATCAATATTTATATTGCTAATTACATTTTTTTCAATTTCATTTCATTTCCCCCCATCAAAATTGTGGATTATTTTTGTAGATAAATAATTTTTAATTATTCAATTTTTGTATCTGCAATGCATTATAGTACTTTCATGGAGAATAATTGCCAATTATTTTTCTTTAGTCTTTCTTTAAATGAGAAAATTTAATCATAACATTGGTTCATTGACTTAGTCATTGTTCAAGGTCCCCAAGGTGTGAAAACGAGAAGGTTATATGAAATACTTAAAATACATGAGCATTAGTGTTGTTAGTGAAGATTTCCCTTGCCAGATTTTTGTTAAATTTAAAATGGTGTTACTCCTTGCAATCTCTGTAAGGGGTGTAGATAATGTCTAGACAATTTTGATGAATTTTAGAATATCACTAGGTTTAACTTCGAAGAGTTCTAAACCCAAAATGTTGGGGAATTTAGGTGCCTCCATGTTAAAACAATAATTGGTTTGAATAGGAAAAAGAGTAAATATCCAAAATTTAATTTGCGCCAGCCTCCTTTGAACATGTGTTGTATAATTTCATATTAATGGTGTATGTAAACAATTTTTTTAAAACTTTATTAAAGAACTAGAGCACAAAGTTTCAATACAAGATGTATTTGAAAAGTTTGGTGGGAAACTTTTTAGGTAAATGTAAGAAAATTACCTTTCAAGGAAACAAAGACTAGGTTACATTAATTTTACTAGTGCAAAAGTGAGTTTTCTTTCATAATTTGAAACCCAATTCATACAACTTTTTGTATATGGAAGATAATTGTACATGGAGTTTTTATATTTGTTTTTTTGACAAGTGTATTACTGTAACTACCCCGTTGCAATAATGAAACTTCCTGCTGATAATTTATTCTATATTGTACACTTTAAATACATTCTACCTTATGGGTAAGGCTACAATTTGGAGCTTTTCTTCATATTCCAGCAAGTCAAGGGTATTACACATGGTGACTACTTTCTTGAAAATGAGTGGAAGAATGGGGAAATTTAAGACAATCACAAAATTGGATATTATTTTTTGGATAACAAAGGTCCTCAAACTTCATTACTTTTTGCATAATTTTTATTTGTTGAGGAAATTCTGTTAATTTTAATTTTTTAACATGAAACATGCAAGCTGACAAAGGTTCAGGGATGTACTGTAAATCACATAGTAGTGTCTGTCTCTGTTTCACAGTGTGTTAGTATTAGAACATCAGATTCTACCGAGAGAAAGACTGATGACTGATATGCGTTTGAATTATCCCCTCAGTTTACCCTGCAATAAATCTTTTGTAGCTCTACTTAGTTTTGTTATGTACATTTAAAGTCTGCATTTTAATTCATTAATCTTCTTAATTATTTGCTTTAGATAATATATTGGTGAATTCATGCAAATTAGTCATCTCTAGCACCTTATATTTTTTTAAGATCAAAATATTCATTTGTTTACGTAACACTCTGCAGAAAAAATGACTTTCTGGGAAAGCTTCTAAGAAAGTTAATAGAATGTTCTTAGACTTGCTTTCATTTTATTTTGTGTACTATTTAGTCTTGTTTAAAAAAGTTATTTTATTTGCTTCTAACTTATTTTAAATTATCAATTAATTTTATTTTTGTTTGGAAATTGTTAATTTGTAGTATCTTACAGGTATAAGAATTCTCCTGTGCTTGCTTATCAGTTGAACATTTTGTGTGTATGACTACATACACATCATTTTTATACATGACATTGTGTGCTGATGACTTTTGTTTATTTTAATAAATGATATGGTAAACTTTGTAAAATGCCAGTTTTGCTGCCATTAAGAAAATATCATTGAATGAAACACTATTACAATTGTTATATTGGGTATTCTCTCATCTATTAGCAGAGAAAAATCTCTCAATAAAATGATTGGACTAAATGATATGATATTCATGTAATTGGACTAAACTGGCTGAAAGTTATTGCTAGAGGAAATAAAAAATGAATTTTTTTTTTAAATTACAATTTGGAAAATAAACTTTTTGTTGAAAAAAGTCCTCAGTTGCACTGGCTTTTTTTCATTTTTATCACGTATGCATGTAATATTTTATTTTTGTTGTATTTTTAACTTTAATTTTCTAGCACAAAATGCGTAATTACAGTAAACAAATTTAAGTGCTGTTGTTATCATTTTTAGAAATGTTTTGTTTATGTTATTGAAGAAACACATGCATTAACACAATTCCTCATCAAATTACATCTAATTGTATTGTCTTTGACTGTAGGATGCTAATGGAATTTCCTTTCATGTTGCAGGTCGTGGTGATTGAGAAGTTGCATTCAAGTTTCATCTCCAAGAAAACTGTTTGAGTTAAATTTTGTAGAGCGAAGATTAATTACCACACAAGAATATATGGAGATTTCTTACCAAGAACTGCATTTTTATTTCATTTCATGATTCAATTAATCCTTCCTTTTAGTCCCTGAATCCTGTACACTGGGAAAAAATTAATTATGAATTGTGATACAAAATGGTAACTAAATTGAGGCAACAAGCACAACAGTGGCTTAACTACTGTCTGCCACTAAAGCAGTTAGGTCACTGTAACACTTGTTGGCCTCATTTATACTCACACTTTTTGGAGGTAGACACACTAGATGAAATACTTCAATGAATGTCTTAATGATGCATTTGAAAATGATCTCAATATTGCTAGTAGTGTTTTTTATGTGTTTGAAGATTTGAAATAGCTTGTTTCAACTTCATTTCTCTTTTGCCCCTTCCATGAAGATAATATAAAGCTGTGTGATATCTTTGTCACTGAAAGACTTCCGGTTCAATGCTGCTATTTTGATCACTTTCTTTATTTTCTTTCCCAGAATTGCTTTCCTCTCATTCTTATAAATCATGATGGATTCTTGTAATTGTTCACATCTCATTTTTTTAATTTTATTTTATTTATTCATACTGAGATTGACATGAGTTTCCAATAACCATTGTGTTAATTCTGAATGTTTTACGAAAAATACCTAATTACAAATAGTTGTATTTGGTTTATCTTTTTCCTGTCAACTGAAATTAAATCATAACAAGTGCTGATTTGTTAGTCCAAATCGTGTAAAAGGCTATATGAGCAATTTGAAATTGTGTACTTTCACCAGCAGTCGCACACACTTTCTTGTTCACACATAATCTTCAAGTAAAGCTTTCTGTCTTACTTATTCAAATAAGTCTAACATGCATAATAAGAAAAATAAATGGAAATGACAATGGGTTAGTGAGTCTTATTATTTTGTAAATCACCAATGAAAAGATGAACCAATTTCTCTTGAAGGGTTCTTATAACAGCTCACCAGCTGGAGGTTTAATACATCAAAAGTATTAAATCAAATGAAATAGATAAAACATTGAAAAATTCTTTTGAAAAGGTGCTGGATGTAAACCCAGTTTATTTGATCTCTTGGGAGTACTGGGCACAATCACCTCCCAGTATTTGTCTTAAAGGAAAAAATGGACAACTGATAGTTACGGCTTGGCTGCGGGCGTCAATTGATGAAGTGCCTTTGACCAGGAATTCCTAGGGTTCCAGTCCCGACGGTGGCAGGATTTTCGACATTTGCTACAAAGCTTCCTCTAATTCAGCCGGTCTATAAGAGAATTCTAGCGGCCGGGTGGTCTGATCGGTAGTTTTTCGTGGTTTCTCCGATCAATACCAGGTGAATGCTGGAGCAGTGCCCCAGTAAATGGTTAACAGAACGCGCGCGATCTTTCCTTCCTCTTCCTTATCCTATCCTCTCCCCTTACACACACGTACACTAACATGTACTACACTACCACATTGGGAGACCTGTCGGGAGCTTAGAGCTTGTCCTAGCTGGGACGGAAAAAATCTGATCTACACTTCCGGGACTAATGGCAATAGTTGATGCACTAACCACCAACCATCCTGTAAATTTTGTAATACAATTGTTCGTGCCACCGATTTTCCTGTGTGATAATCAAATAGTTCCATTTATGGCTCAAAGATTGTCCCCGCTTTCGACTTTTTATGTAACCCCTTAAACCAAAACGTATTACTTTCTTATACATATCTCGAAAGCGTATCCGATTGTCTTTTAGGCTTCACCCGAACCCGTTAATTTCTATATCACAAGAAAATGACGTCTCTTATCCCGTATCCTGTCCCACGCATAAAAGAATCCCCGCTTCCGCTAGGACAAGTCGACAAGTCAATAGACCCGCGAGCGTAATCTCTGTTAAGATAATGCTACGGCCTTCGCGGCTAACAAAAAACATCTTAAGAGTTTGCATTTTATGTCGAAATATTTATTGCCAAGCTGCTATATCAATGTTTTGCAATTTTTCTTCCAATATTTCATCCAACACAAGTTTTATGATTTGCGTGCCGATAGAAATTCCTTCCTTCGATTTTACATTACTCATCCGTGGAATTAATTCACTGCTTTGAAACTAGTTTTTGAAGAACCTATAAAAAAATTGCCATTCAACTGGATTATAGAACACTCAATTCACTTGTTAACCCCCTAATGTCTTCACGAAAATAAAAAGTCGTACCCTCGAGAGCAGAGTTTTGGACAAAGGTCTCGGGTCTATAAACTGATTTTTCTTGTTCCGGCAGCAAGTAATTTCCGTTTCTGTAATCTTGAGCCTGACAGTTCAGATTTTTTGACAAACTCAAGTCCCGTGCCAAATCATTTAGGTCTTCCTGCTCTATTAAGTGCAGGCCAGTGTCCGACTTTCGTGGTAAGTCGTCTGGATGTTTTGCAGTGGATGCTTTTGTTTCTGGAGGAAACACGGGTTCAGTTTCATCGTTTCCGGTCAGATTAATCATGATTTATCGATCAAGTTTCCGGGGGTACAGGTACTAGTAATTTTTCATTGTGTGACACAGGTCGCTTGGCCGAAGAAATATGTGGATAGTTGATCTGGCGTGTTTCCTTTTCCTAGATAGACCAGATATATTTATCATGCAGAAGCATGATATCTTTAACATTCATCAAAATGGTTTGTTGGAATTCTCCACAACATTGTTACAGAGAAAGACAATGATTTGGGGTTTCCATACAACCACAACCTAAGCATCGCTGTACCGGAGACAACACTGGTGAGGAGCCCACGGTTTGTCCTGATCGCAAACACACCAAAGTGTAAAGGATACGCAAGTTTTGTAATTTCATATATTTTTCCCCGTTTGAAGTTTGGGTGTAAATATTCCACAAACGTAACAGAAGGTACTGGGTTTATTCTCACACCTTCGATGTGAAATGGCTTTGCATTTTATCGAACCGATTAAATTCAAAAGATCATGTGGCGAGTTTTACTTTATAGAACCCACAGAACTGAACACAAACCAGAGACGAACTTCACGTGCACTATTGCAACAGTTCCGCACGTCGCCGACTGACTCAGAAACTGACACCCTAACAGTTGGATACTTGTAAGTACTTGTAGTTTGAACGCGCGGTAAGGTAAGGGGCTAAAATAATTCCTTTCGGTGACATCCGCAGTAGGAAATATGAGGGTGCACGTGACTTGCTTTCAAAACATCCACTAAGACCTACTCGTAATTGAGCGCGATTATCAGACGCGAAACTGAAGTCGGCAGTCTTCGGTTAAAGAAGGTAAAAAATCACGAAAGCCTAATTTTGTTAATATTTCATGAAAGTGGCATCGATAAACTGAACAAATATTTTATTTTTAAATAGATTTCATGAGTATTGATTCTACATATCTTTCAGGTGCAGTTTAAACATATTTGCATTAATAGCGAAGTACAGTATTAAGATGCAGTATATTAAAGGTCAGTGACGTGTATGACGTTTTTATTGTGATATTCGTAATCTATGTACGCTTGTGTTGAGTACGTTTCGCACTTAACATTCCTGGAGGTAAACATCTTATTCTCGGTGTAATTAACAATATCTACTAAAACAGCTCGAAAAGAATCCTTTTGCAATACCTTCGTGTGTTCGTGACAGAAAAATTAGAAATAACCTTTTCGTATTTGTGTTCCAATTTGCATTTTATTTTTCACTTTTGCATAACGCCTTCTACATGCAATGTTTATTGTATTAAAAAAATGCGTACCAGTATCTGGATCCCCAAAATTATATTTGTGGGAACGTGATGTCAAAATACGTCAATCTTATGTACATTTATGTATCCTTTCTTTCAGTTATAATACTGCCTTAAGCTATCCAAATGAAGTATCACTTAAGTTAAATGTTCATGTCAATTTATGCTATTTTAAGTTGTTTAAAGGAGATACAGTTAGAGACCCGTTATCTGCAAGCTCCCAACACATTAACTGAAATATTTTGATTTTATATCAATCTCTTGTCCATGTAATTTAAATTCATTTAACATTGCAACAACTTTCATTTAGACATTGTAACCTGTAAATTATTTCAAGTCATTGATCCGCCAATTTCTCTTTACAATGTGAATGTTTACTTCTTAAATTTAAATCGTTAATTCAGAGTTTGGCGAGTTAATAAATTCCGTTATTGTGAGTGTTACTGATTTATTTACCATTTGTCATTGCATGCTAATTTATCGCTACCAGAGTGAATTCCATAGGACGCGGTGAGGAATGTCGATATCTTTAAGTCAGTCCACTTATAATATTTGAATTTGTCACAGTATTGTCGACTACCTACTCATCTTGCACATTGTAGATCTCCACGAATTCTTTACACCATGGAGTAATGGTCATATGTTATCCCCACACTACCTTTCTTTGTGCATTCTATTGTACCCCTGCAAACACTTAAGTGCAGTCTCCTCACTGAAATAAATTTCCCACAACCGGAGTAAATTTAAACGCGCCATCTTCACTTGAAATACGAAATAGAATGTTATCGTCCCCGTCGTCAATTCGTAATCCGGATATGATAAGGGATAAGATCCTACATTTTCATAAGGATAGTTCATAAGACAACCAGTTCCCATATAGCGTCGTCAGTCAAAAGATAACTCTTACAAATGTGCATAAATCTTGCACATTGCTTTGGTATTACACAAGTATTATGTCAATGCATTGTTCATTCCATTCGTCTCTACCAATCAGAGATGTTTTACTCCAGTACTTTCATCACATTTTTAATAACTTTCATTGTTTCTGTAATTAACGAAAAATCAATTTATTCGTTTTATCGCCGGACAGATACGCACTTCTTTTTAGTCTCCCTGGGGTTGGTGGGATTTGAAAGCTTACTTTAATTATTAACGATCTAGTACCCGGATCCGATTTTTGTCACGTTCTTACCCGGGCGAGGTCTAAAAATAAGGTTTTTCAAGATTATTTTTGTAATAATTTTCGATCACGATCACTTACAGTAATTTTTTCACAGTCTACTTTACTTCTTCAGTGATCTTCCAGTCAATAATTAACTTCTTCCGCAAAATTTGCA